CGGATGAAATCTATTGCGTTATAATACTCTCTGTTTGCTGATATTTAATATTGCATTCACTTATGGAGTTTTTTCTTTTACTCAATAAATGTTTTACGCATTTTAGTGACTGAAAATGTGGTGTCTCAAAGGTCATACTGGCCGGGCATTCTACATATCTTTACCCGAACTACGTAGCCATTTTTATGCTGTGCAATTCTTCTTTCAGCTTTTCTGTCTGTACCATCAACTTAACTGCCCTCACCCCCTGCAGTGTTCCATTCCCATATTGCCAAGGTGACCCACAAGAAGGAATACGGCCCTCCCTCAATCCAGAATCATGAGTTATACTGTGCCTACCACAATAAGTTGTGAATACGTAGCCTTGCTGTGGCCAAACATTTTTTAACAATTTGTCAAACTTTGATATGTATACAACACATATAACTCAGTTTTACTTCATCTTAATATATCAGTTGAATCCCACTTGACCTTTGAAGATCCGTGTTAGAATAGGTCTTCAGCAACCCAGGCTTGTCGTTATAGGCGACTATGCTTGTCGTAAGAGGCGACTTAAGGGATCGGATGGTCAGGCTCGCTTATGAATATCAAATACATGTCTTGAAATATAGACTTGTAAAAGAGTTCATCAATGAACCATATGCAGTCTAACCCATTTAATTGGCGTGTATGGATATATTATCCATTTACTTATACACAGTCACTTATTATGGACATATACAGAATTTCATTGTGCCTTATTATTAAAAAACAATACCCGTGAACAACCCATGCTTGTACGAAGGCGACTAACGTAATCGGATGGTCAGAGTCGCTGACTTGGTTGATGCATGTCATTGTATCCCAATTGCGTAGATCGGTGCTCTTGATCTCAATAGCTGGATTGTCCGGCCCAGACTGGATTATTTAAAAAAACGCCGCCATATAGCTGGTATATTGTTGAGTGCGGCGTTAAACAACAAACAATCAAACCAAAACTATTATTAAACACCTTTCAAGAATGAGAAATTAAACTATTATTTTCTTTATAGTTAGTTTTATTTATAAAATAATTTGATTCATAATTTAATCATTGTGTTGCTTTCTTGTCTGTCATTCAATGCACATGTTCAAACCCCTAAACTTTTAATATTTGTTTTTCACAAATGGTTACGTTAGTGAGTTGCCTCGATCTTTTGTTACCTACTCACACGAACAGATTAAAATAATTTGTTTGTTCTATCATATTTCATTTTATTTAATTCATAATAAGAAATTAATAATTCATTTATCACAGTATAGATCATATCACTCTTTTATATCACTATCTGATGTTAAGGTTTTATTGCAGAAATTATCATGAATTCAAAATGTAGAAAGATACACAATTTGCCGTAATTTGAAATGCAATATTTTTCAACTTTTAAACTATACAAAGTATAATGATTAGAATGCCTGTAACAGACAGTGTTTAAGAAAGAAATATTAGTCTATTAGTCCCATTTTTCAGATATGCCCCTCAGTTGTATTATTGTATATCTCCAGATAGATGTTTACATTGTAGTTCTCATTATTTGATGATAATTCAAAAAGCAACATAGAAAATATATATTCTACCATGACAAAAGAATACAGAGTATACAATAACTCGTAATTGTTCAAAAAGAGATTTCAAATCACAATAACATATATGATATAAACAGAGGTGGTGATGCTTTATTCTCTACATTGTGCCCTTGTTCGTGAGCCCTTGTTCTATTCAGCAAACAGCCCAAACCCGAAACTCCACAATATATCCGATTACACTGACCAAGGCTGGCCCCAGCTGGATTCTCCCACACGTCAGTTCTCCATGCGATACTGACACCCTTGTACGTCTCCCAGACCATAGAGAATAAATTTAAAAGGAATACAGCTCAAGTCTAGAACGCTTTGGCAAGCCGAGATTGCCTCAATTCTAAACATGGAAGTGAGCATTAATAAAACAATATTGTTCTTGGCTCCTTTAGATTATATTTTGTAGATACATATTTTTAACTACTAAAACTTTACTGACACTGGTACTGTCCCTTTTGAAGCTATTTATAGCTCGAATAAGAATTTCGAATTATCGTTCATTGTTCGATGTAAATACATCGGTGACAAGTGAGGATATCATATAGTAATCGTTGATGCCCCACTACACTATAATAAACATTATAATCAAGTTGACTAGTGTGTACATTACTACAGTGGACATGTACCTGATCATGCCCTTCGTAATATCAAATACTAATTGTGTGATGAATTTAACTGGATCATTGGTGACATGTGATATTTCTTAATAATTTCTTTCCTGGTTGGTCTATCCATGTCTAAAAAATAAAAAATAAAAATTAAAAAGGAAAATAGAACAATTCTTAATTTCAGGCTAGAGCTGTGGGAATCTAGACTTTCCCAGTCATTGTAATCAGTGAGGGGTCCTTTATCATCCCTATTTGACTGCTTATAAAAATATTATATCTCTCCTCACAGCTCGTTAATATATATTTTTGCTTCTGAATATTCGAAACAGAGTGATTGAGTTGGTACTACACGTGTATACGGTTCCATTTTAAATGACTGCAGTGCTCCATTATGAAAACAAATTGTTTTAACGCTGCTCTCAGCAGTATTCCAGTGACATATGATGGCCGTCTGTTGTATATGAAATAAATGCAAATTGAATCTTGAATCTTGAAAGTTGTAGCTTTTCCGCAAATCAGAAGCACATGCAGTATACAGTAGATCAACTGCAATATACTGTATACAAATGGGCTGGAGCACACATTTCCTACTCCTTCCCGGGAAACACCTCATGGGGGGTGTAACGAGGTCACAGGTCAGGCATGCACTCGTCAGTTGTCTGATACGGTCAAGAGTAAGATCTCCGAGACGATCACTGCACTAGAGGAATGTGGATTGTTGATGAGGTACAACGTGTTTGGAACTGGGAGTTGAACACTATGCACTTATAGAGAAGAGCTCACCATAAAACGTTATGCACTCGCGGACGGACTTGTGTTTTCAATTCAAGACGTACATGTATCAGGTTGAACTTCTACGACAGATATAACTTGGGTACCGCTCCCTAACTGTAACATCAACTGAACTTTACGCCTTTTATACATATTTGTGATGGGGCGACCATGCGACAACGAGACATATTTTGACATTGAAAAATGTCGCGTTACGGCATTGTCGCCCTTTTGTAAAATATAGAAAAAGATTATTCAAAGAGCGACAATGCGACAACGCATGTGTTTGTATTTGTTTGTGACGGGTGCCACCCGTGGGTCAACACCTGGTATCATCACTATTTGATAGTGATTCATAAGCACTTGCTTATGATATAGTCGGAATCGTACTATCGACTCTGCTTTATGCAGAGATTTCTATTGGATGTAGAAGGGGTTTGTCGCTTTAATTATTCAACTTTCCAACATTCAACTTTCCCTTAATGTCGAGCAATATCCCTGCAGCTCCAGCCCTTTGTGTCTACATTTTACAAATTGAATTCTTTTAGGTACAATCAAGCTTGTCTCTTTCTTCAAAGATTTCAAAGAGCGCCATTCGACTCTTGCTCAGAAGACGTTCTATCAGGGTACATCATTCAAGGCCTCAGTAAAGCTTTCATTAAGTTTTGTGGTAGATATGTGGGTGGCATTTCCAAATTTGATGCATCAGTGACAAGAATTATGTCCGATGTAATTCTCTATTTTGATTTGTACCATATGTTCCCGTGTCCTTTCAGGTGAACAATTGACTTGCATGTGTTTGTGGCGGGGGCCAGCGGTGGGGCAGTATACATGTACACTCCCCGTTTCGCGAACACCTGTTATCATCACTATTTGATAGTGAATCAAAAACACATGCACACCATATGTTCTGAATCGTACAATCAACTCTTCTTTTAGCGGAGACTTTTTATGAATATGGAAAGCGTTTTGTCGCTTTTATTGTATTGTTTTATGTGGCACAGTGAAGCAGGTGTTGTCTTACAGCACATAAGTTATGAAACTTATGTTGCGTCATTACACAATGAGGCTTGTGTTGTGACAAACATGGAGTACTGTGAAAACGGAGCTTTGAAATGTATGTTATGTTGTGTTATTGCACAATGGGGTATATTTTATTTACAGCACTGTGTACCATATGTTGTGTTATATAACTGTGGGGTTTGTGTTGTGTTACAATACTGATAACCATACTATGTGATATAGGACTGTTAAGTGTTTTAGCACCATGCTTATGTTGTGTTTTAGCACTGTGGACCATATGTTGTGTTATAGCACTAGGAACCAAATGTTGTGTTATGGCACCGGGAGGATTCGTGTGATAACTGCTCTGAAGATAGAGGTTTGACTCTATTGATCAAGAAATGAAGATTTTTAGTTAAGAAACTTGACACAATGTAAGATTCATATTGAATTAAGGTATTACTGACTGTGCGATCATTGGTATTGATCGACAGTAACGTGAAGGTCACGTTCGACAATTAGAGTTTACAGCACAATTATGGCGGTGAATCGCTAAGATTCATTTGTCAAACGTAGAACGTCCTATACGCACAGTGTGTTAGTGTGCTGTATACATACCTTCACATCTGGTTACACCCGATTCAGCTTCAAATATATATTTGAATACTCTTGCTTTATGTTTGTTTGTTTGTTTGTTTGTTGTTTAACGCCGCACTCAGCAATATTCCAGCTATATGACGGCGGTCTGTAAATAATCGAGTCTGGACCAGACAATCCGGTGATTGACAGCATGAACATCGATCCACGCAATTGGGATCGATGACATGTATGAACCAAGTCAGCGAGCCTGACCAGCTGATCTCGTTAGTCGCCTTTTACGACAAGCATAGTCGCCTTTTACGGCAAGTATGGGTTGCTGAAGACCTATTCTACCCCGGAATCGTCACGGGTCTCTTGCTTTATATACTTTATATATATGCAGCAGTTAGTGCTTTTGTGGAACAATCTTTCTTACCATTTCAGTGACCCAGTACGGTTGGAGCAGGATTCAAGGGGACAACAGCCAATCCTCTTATGTGTGTGAGATACCTCTGGATGAAGCCTACCGCATTGTGCAGGAGGAGAGAGACTTTGGTAAGCTGATTAGAAGCTTATAATATATAAGACTTTATCAACAAGCCAAACATTCGTTAATGCAGGCATTTGTTAATCCAGTCCGGTTTTACGGGGTTAACGTTTGTCATACATAGTTTGGCACGGGTGTCCCAGTCGTCTAGGACGCCGCAATTCGCTGTGCCGAGTTGCGTCCCTTGGGCACACCAGAATCCTATGATCGTGGGTTCGAATCCCGGTTCGCCGCGATTATGTTTCGAGGTTATTAGCGCCATACCCGTGTTTCACCAGAGTGGTAAAGGTCTAAGACCTGCATCACTTCGGGCTTTCCTCCCACATCAAGCTGATAGGCCGTGATGTAAGTTGAATACTGTTCAAAGTGTTAAACTCAACTCACTCACTCACTCACTCATATTCATAGTCTTTTTTTCACAAATGTTCATTTCAGTGTAACGGCGGAGTATTTGCCATGCATAGAATTACATGTTTTCTACTCACATTTGTTTTTCTCACACATATATCAGATTATGGTACGAACATCACGGACCCTAACGATGTTCCCCGAGGGCCCCGACTTATGACGGAACCTTACGATCTTGTGGAGATCGGAGATGCGGTGACAGCCTCCATCGAGTGTGTAGCTACAGCTGTGCCTCCACCTATATACCGAATGTATCACACCTTACAAAATGTCACCATCCTGATAACCCCCGATCTCGATGACCGGTACTCGCTAACCAACGGGAAGGTAACAATCGCTGACCCTCGCGAGGACCCGGATGGAGGTCGATACCACTGCGAGGCTGAAAACGAATTTGGAATTGTTGTCAGTAAACAGATGCAGCTGTCCTTCGGCAGTAAGTTTTCGTTGGGTCCACAGTTGACTATAATTTGTTGTTTAACGCCGCACTCAGCAATATTCTAGCTATATTACCGTGGTCTGTAAAAAATCGAGTCTGGACCAGACAATCCAGTGATTGATATCATGAGCATCGATCCACACAATTGGGATACGATGACGTGCATCAGCCAAGTCAGCAGGCCTGGGCCCCCGATCCCGTTAGTCGCCTCTTTCGACAAGCATAGTCGCATTTTACGGCAAGCATGGGCTGCCGAAGACATACTGCTTTTAATTTCTGGACGAAAAACATGAAAATAGAAAAGTGCGTGGATCCAGATGTGGGGGTGCGGTTTGGAGGGGGCGCATCCCCATCCCCCTTTTTTAAGCATTCTAATGATGGTGAGGTATAAAATACATCTAAAGCATTTAGTGACTGATGGCAACTCTTTGGCTAACAAACGCAAAGTTTTCCCAAAATATTTCCATTCATTTTTTCGAAATCTTTTCCCCAATTGGACTTGTACCATATGGTCCCATTGCTGCCCAGGTGAACACTTGCCTTGCCTTTGCATGTGCTAATGACAGGTGTCATCGGTTGGCAGGATACGCTTTCCTTTTTTTGCGAACACTGGCTATAATCACTATTTCATTGTGATTCATGAACACATGCTTTTGATAGTATTTGGAATTAATTTGGATGCAAGTTGGAACCGTACAATGGACTGTGCTTTTAGCAGATGGAGCAAATTCCATATACATTTCTCGTAATTATGGAAAGAGTTGTGTCCCTTATTTGTACAGAACTAAGATTTCATCCCATCAGTGACAAACAGGATGTCGAATGCAATTCCCTATTTTGACTTGTATCATATGTTCCCGTGATTTTTCATGCGAACAACTGACTAGCCCTTGTGTGCATTTGTTCGAAAGGTCATTTTTTTCGCGAACACCTGGTGTCATCTCTATTTGATAGTGATTAATAAACACATGCTCATAATATAGTCGGAATTGTACACCCAACTTTTAGCAGAGATTTCTAGTGATTATGGAAGTAAATTTATCGCTGTTATTCAAAAACTTAAGACATTTCTTGTGCGAAGATTGTCCAGGGTTGAATAATTATAATAACTTAATCTTATTCCAGACTTGGCCGAGTTTTCCAACGTTGGAAGGGAGCCTGTCCGTGCAGTACGCCATAGTTACGCCATAATTAATTGTGTACCTCCCTTAGGAAAGCCAGGTTGGTGAACAGTCTGGAGCTGGGTGTCCAACGATTGTATATTCTGAGTTTTCTGTTGTTGTTGGGTTTTTTTATGTTGTTGTTTGTTTGGGGTTTTGGTTTTTATTTTTTATTTAATTATTATTTTTTTATTTATTTATTATTATTTTTATTTATTTATTTATTTTTATTTTTTTTGGGAGGGGGGGGGGGGGGGGGGTCATTTCTTTTTGAAATGTTTAAAAATTGGTTCTACCTTATTACATCTGCATTTATAAATGTAAAATTTTGATAAAAGTGAAAACAGATATAATGATATCATCAGTATTTTTATCATTACTACAGCCAAATATTATCGGATCACAATTATCAGTTAACCAAATAAAAAATAATTCCAAAAACATTCCATATTTCTACATTCCGAAAATGAAATGGTTCAGATTATCTTCGTTTTCTTCACAAAAAGTACAACAAAGGTGGTTAGCAATGTACAGTTTATGTACGCATTTGTTGTCAATATTATGTGTTAAATTCTAAACTGAAGCCATCTCAGCCTAGTGTCCTGTATTGTCTTAAAATAATTCTTATAATTCCGTTTAAATTCACTTTGAAATTGTCCTTTCCCTTTTGGCCTGGTAATATCAACAACACATCGTAGATATATTATGTGTAATAATCTACTTTAGGTCTTTTTTACATGAAAAAAGCTTCCTTTTAGTAGGTGTAAAAACATTGGAGTACTTGCATTAACTTAATCAATATGTAAATGCTTCAGATAACCTTTGATTCAGTTTAGAACATCATAAAAGTCAAGACAAGACACATTGAGTTGAAGACACATTGTGTTGAATCTGATAGGGACTAAAATTCACCATTCTCATCAATCTATTTCTGTTGGACGGTAGTAAAGCGTCCCTTGAAAAGAGTGTAAGTACATTTAATTTTTTTGCTTGAATTCCGGACTGAGGATAAAGTTTGATAAATCCCAGGTTGTTTGGTTGGGTTCCATGAAAAAATAGTCACGTGCGTCTTTTACATGACTTCAAACTTTATGGAATCCGTCGATTTTTAAAATACAACAAATATGTAAAAAAAATGGGTGAACTGAATTATAATAGGCTCCGTGCGATAAATAATAATAATAATAATAATAATAAGTGCCTTTATAATGCGCCAGATTCCATTCACCAAGTGGATGCTCATAGCGCTACACTATTATTACCCCGGTCAATGGATCGATTACACAAAATATTAATAAGTGGAAGAGGAGTATCATTACCCCGCTTGGTAGAATAGCAATAATAAGGTCTCATTAGATTTCAAAATTGAATTTTTTACTGTTAACTCTTCCTAACCTTCTGCAGGTTTTCCTAAGCAACTACATGGGTGCTTGTTTAAAATTCTGAGGAATCAAAAGAAAGAGAAATTATCTGTAAACCTGTCCAAGAAGGTGGTTGGAGAATGGTTATTTTTCCATCATGTCAATTAAGGCTCTAAAGGTTTCATTTATCCGAAAAGATTTGAAAAATATGCCAAATGGCAAAAGATGCTAGTGTCCAAGTTTCCAACTTTCAAAGGCATTTTGTTAGACTTTTTCCAAAAAAACATATCAGGTAGTATGAATAACATTTGTTTGGAAGGATTGTTTGGTGGCATTCCATGAATTTGGTTGAGCAGTTGTTACTGGTTTCTTACAGCATTTTCTGGCAGGACGAATAATTCTCACGTTCCCATAAGCAATTGTCCATTTTTCATAACAAAATGGGTAGAGAAAGGTATTTTACAAATCTGTATATTCTTGGCTGAGAACATAAAGATATAATTGTGTTTACCAAAGTAATTTTCTTTCTCAAGAACAGTCCTGTCCCTTAAACCAACAATGCGTACGATACGATATTGGTCTATTGTCTATACATTTACTGAAATGCGAATGGCTGCATATATCTGATTCTGGTGCAATGCTGTTGCAATGTTAAACGGGGAGACGGATGACCCAGTCGTCAAAGGCGCCGCGACTCGCTGTGCAGAGTTGCGTCCCTTGGGCACGCCAGAAACCTATGATTGCGGGTTCGAATCCGGTTCGCCCCGATTATGTTTCTAGGTTTGTCAGCACCATACCCGTGCTCGTGGGTTTCGCCGAAGTGGTAAACGTCTGAGACCTGCATTACTTCGGGCTTTCCTCCCACATTAAGCTGACACGCCGTGATATAACTGGAATACTGTTAAAAGTGGCGTCAATCCCAACTCACTCACCCACTGCAATGTTTAACAGGAGGGATTCGGGTCGCGTTTACGTTGGAGTGAGTTGGGTATTACGCCGCTTAAGCAATATTCCATCAGTATTCCAAAGGTATTGCTAAGGCAAGATAGATAATGAACCAACTAATATTGTAACAGATTTGGTATGATCCATAAAAATGATATGTTGAAAAGGTAGAAATAATTCCTGTTGTTGGTGTTAACCAGACAATCAGTGACAGAAGCTCAGACTCTAAACATTCACACCATGCAGGCCTATTGGAATCAGTCAAAGTGCACTGTCTTTACTCAGAACAGAATGTGCGACCCAACAATAACAAGCTCGGAAGGGATCATTAAACCTAGAATAGTAAACGTAGAACTTTATATTTCTATGTTCATACATGATTATGTAACGGGTGCCACGGGTGGGGCAGGACACGGTCACCTTTTCGCGAGAACACCTGGTATCATCACTATTTGAGAGTGTTTCATAATCACATGCTCATGATATAGTCGGAATGGTACAATCGACTCTGCTTTTAGCAGAGATGTCTTATGAATATGTAAAGGATTCTGTCCTTTTTCTCATGATCTGCATGATGTATGAACTTAGCAATACACAACTGCCTATATGAAATAGAATAAGACTTTGTTCAGCTCAACCTCAGGATGTTTTGGACTCTATAAGCTCTCAAAATAGCAGCTTTTAGGAACTATTTTTTTTCTCTAATATGTGAAAACGAGCAAGTCGTGGACCCAAGTTATTTCTGTGAGGAGATGAAGATAAAGGCAGTACTCAAACAGAGTGAGGTCTTATTTTGGATCATGATCTTGCTCGAAGTCTTTTTGGGATTTTTTTGTTTTACCAATAATCTCATCAAGTGAAAGGTCCAACACTTACAAGTGTTAAAAAGACAAAAAAAAAAGGCTAGTTGGCACCCATTTGAACAGGTCCGATGATGCCCATGCCAATATATCACAGTTTTTCAGACATTAAATCTTTGACATTACCAGTTGGCCAAATTGTACTCTTATCCTACCGTCCTTTGGGAAGAAATGCTACCATTGGGTCCTTATTAAAGACAGAATGAATACTTCATAACCTTATGCATATTGTTTAAAGCTGTAGCCTACAATTGGCTGAAAAGCAGCGGCAGTAACTTCATCCGTACGGACATCAACCCTCACATCTTCATCTCCTACAACGGCAAGCTGTACTTCAGTGAAGTGACCGACACTGACGAGACGTACTATAGGTGTGTGGTGAAGCTGATCTCTGACAGTAGTGCCGTCATTGGCTCCAACCAGCCTCCCAGTCGACTCAGCATGCCTATCGATCTCCAGCTGATTGATGACTGTAAGTTACATCGAAATATTCACCCGTGAAGATCCGGGATAGAATCGGTCTTCAGCAACCCATGCTTGCCGTAAAAGGAGACTATGCTTGTCGTAAGAGGCGACTAACGGGATCGGCTGGTCAGACTCACAGACTTGGTTGATGCATGTCATCGATCCCAATTGTGTGGATCGATGCTCATGATATTAATCACTGGATTGTCTGGTCCAGACTCGATTATTTACAGACTGTCGTCATATAGCTGGAATATGCTGAGTGCGGCGTTAAGCAACAAACCAACCAACCAACATCGAAATATTCACATAAACTCCATGTTGATGAAGTAGTAATTACATACAAGGGTTATCAATTCTGTGTTTTGGGATACTTAATTTCCAAACTTTGGAATAAACATTGTGTTTACCGACCCTTGTTGGGCTAAATGCATACTGTTTATTCCTAATTCAAAATATTTACCATCCAAAAACACACATCCGTGATGACCTCTTTGTAATATAATGTCATTCTAAAATTCTGTTGTCGAAAACAGTATTGTCATCTCTCACCTCTCACCAGGTTTTCAGGAAATGTGCGTATTAGCATATTCACAAGGTCCGTGATCAGTCAGTGGGGCAGTGAAAACAGGCTATGCAGTTCATAATTTTATGGTTCTGAAGCAGGAAGGTGTGTCTGTGTGTGTTGTCGTTGAGTTGAGCTCCTGAGACTAGGGTGTTTATAAATGTAAATAAAGATATGATATACAACGCGGTAAAGGTTCACAGTCGTATTATTTTCAGCTAGATATGATTAACTAGAGTGGATGGAGCCCAATGGAGCAGTCAGAGAACACTGATAATTAACCAGTGAACAAATGTGCAGGATCGTTGATCGTTGTTGTTGTTTAACGCCGCACTCCAATATTCCAGCTATATGACGGCCAGACAATCCAGTAAATGACATCATGAGCAATGATCTACACAATGTGTGCGTGCGTGCGTGTGTGTGTGTGTGTGTGTGTGTGTGTGTGTGTGTGTGTGTGTGTGTGTGTTAATCTACAACTTCAGGAATGTTTGCCTCAATTAACCACAATACATCACTAACACTAATGACTTCACCCACTGAAAGTTCGAACTGTTCAAACCATTCTCCGCAAAAAAATATTTCCTCAGAGCTTATTTCGCATGTATACTTCAATGTACATACGTATATCACACGTTGCAGAAAGCATCACATTCGTGTGTGAGAGTTTGTCTGTGATACTTATTTTACTGAACGAGTTGCAGGAAGTATTATATTCGTGTGTGTGAATGTTTGTTTGGCTCAAGCGAAGGTGAGGGATCCATAATACGTGAATTTTGTCAAATCAGTTTGATACACACTTGAATGCAATACCATCATTATTATATATACTTTAATATAAGCAGTGGTAACAAGGTAATGTATTCTGTATTGTATAAACAGTGTCAGAAACCAAGAGGGTAAACAATTATAGCCGGTGGCGTCATTCCTTTGTGACGTCATTATAAACTGCAGAATGATTTTTCAGTTGTTGAGCACTAAAACATCAGGCTCAATCAGCCGCATGCCCGTCACTATATAAGTAAAAAAATCTTGAACGAGACTTTAAACCCCATATCACCTCACCACACCTCACCTATATTCTATACAGTTTGCGGGGCGGTCGGGTAGCCTAGTAGTTAAAGCCTACGCTTGTCACGCCGAAGACCCGGGTTCGATTCCCCACATTGGTACAGTGGGAAGCCAATTTCTGGTGTCCCCCGCCGTGATATTGCTGGAATATTGCTAAAAGCGGCGTAAAACCCTCCCTCCCTTCTAAACAGTTTGCACTCAATGTTTCTTCTGTATGTATGTTCATACTCTTCAATAACTGGTTACACATATTGGTGCATTTACATTTCTTTCAGTATCAACGGATTGGGGTCCGGAAATAGCCAATGACTTCGTGGCATCCTTCCCACGTCTTCCCAAGCGAGGGCAGAGGGTCCGTCTTGAGTGCTTAGCTTATGGAACGTGAGCATGTTTTTCAAATGAACATTATGTAGCTATTCGATTATGACATTTTTCGGCGTTGACGTTGGACATGAGTTGGGGATGACAATATGTCATGTATATGACGTAGTGTTTCATTCATGTGATTGCACAACGGAAGACAGGTCATAGAAATGTACCACTAAGCACGGGTATCATGGTGATTTGTCAATATTATATTCCACTCGGGTCGACTCTGCCTATTCCACTAACTGCATGTACATAACATGTCTTTATATGCATTTAGAGTGAGTGAGTTGGGTTTAACGCCGCTTTTAACATTATTCCAGTTATATCACGGCGTGTAAGCTTAATGTGGGAGGAAAGCCCGAAGTGATGCAGGTCTTAGACGTTTACTACTTCGTTGAAACCCACGAGCACGGGTATGGTGCTGACAAACCTAGAAACATAATCGGGGCGAACCGGGATTCGAACCCACAATCATAGGTTTCTGGCGTGCCCAAGGGACGCAACTCTGCACAGCGAATCGCGGCGCCTTAGACGACTCGGCCACCCGTGCCCCCATATCCATTTAGAAGTTGAAGACCCGTGAAGATCCGGGGTGAAATAGGTCTTCAGCAAGCCATGCTTGCCGTAAAATGCGACTATGCTTGTTGTAAGAGCCGACTAACGGGATCGGGTGGTCAGGCTCGCTGATTTGGTTGTTGCATGTCATCGTATTCCAATTGCGTGGATCGATGCTCATGATGTCAATCACTGGATTGTCTGGTCCAGACTCGATTACTTATCCGCCGTCATATAGCTGGAATACTGCTGAGTGCGGCGTTAAACAACAACAAACAAACAAACAACTTCTTTTACACAACGTTTTACAGGTACTCCTACCCTCTTATCAGGAGTATTACAGTTTGTGAGAGCATGACATACACGTTCGAGATATTTGTCTCTATTAGCTTTACAGGAAATAAAAGCGGCAAAGACCATTTCGATACTTATAAGAAATTTCATTAGAGTCCATTGTACGATTCGGACTATAGGATGAGCGTGTGTTCATGAATCTCTATCAAATAAACAATCTGGGTCAAAGACTTGATCATATTTAAATATTCGAAAAAAAACGGTAGCATTTCTTCCCAAGGGACGGTAGGATAAGAGCACAATTTGGCCAACTGGAAATTAAAAGATTTAATGCATGGAAAACTGTGATATATTGGCATGGGCATTATCGAACCTGTTCAAATGGGTGACAACTAGCCTTTTTTGTCTTTTTAACATTTGTAAGTGTTGGACTTTTCACTTGATCAGATAATTGGTAAAACAAAAAAATCCAAAAAGACTTCGACCAAGACCATGACCCAAAATAAGGCCTCACTCTGTTTGAGTACCGCCTTTATCTTCATCTCCTCACAGAAATATCTTTGGTCAAAGACTTGCTCGTAGTCAAATATCAGGTTCTTAAAAACCGCTATTTTGAGAGATTATAGTCCTTTTCAAATTGGTGTCAAAAGTCCAAAACATCCTGATGTTGAGCTGAACAAAGTCTTATTCTAATTCATACACACAGTTGTGAATTGCTAAGTTCATACATCATGCAGATCATAAGAAAAAGGGCCTTTATCACTTTCACGACAGAACCCTTTCCATATTTATAAGAAATCTCTGCTAAGTCGATTGTCCAATTCCGACTACAGTAAACTACGTTTATAACGAACACGCTTATAACGAACTGACGGATTTAACGAACATATTTTAGTCCCGACCATTTATTGTATATATGTTGTATGTATGCTAATAACGAACTACGGTTATTACGAACTAAAATGAGTGGTCCCCTCGAGTATGTTATAACCGAAGTCCACTGTATATAATGAGCATGTGCTTATGAAACACTCTCAAATAGTGATGATACCAGGTGTTTGCGAAAAGGTGGAACGTGACCCACCTTGGTGGACTGCAAATCGTTAATTCTAAGTACTATAAACAAGGTAATGCAACTCCCACGTCGCCTTTATCTTGAACCAGATTTCGTTGAGATTTTGTGGCAATATGGAACCCTGTTTGTTCAGGATGCCTATCACATACTCCTGGCAGCGTGAGGGTGGATTACCGATGCCTCTTTCCACTGTGCTGGATGATCACAACCGGATCTTGTACATCGATAATGTCCAGCTGGAGGATGCTGGGAATTACACGTGTCATGCCAGACGAGGTTCGTCCGGAAGTGATCAGAAGTCCTTCTATCTGAAGGTCGAAGGTACAACTTGAAGTTTAAATGTCCTTTTTTAGTTCTGATTATGATTGATGAAGGGTACATCAATTTGTGAAGAAGGTTAAATGTTTACGCCGTGTTAAGATGCCATTAACATGTAATCTCTCGGACCCGTGAAGATCCGGGGTAGAATAGGTCTTCAGCAAGCCATGCTTGCCGTAAAAGGTGACTATGCTTGTTGTAAGGGGTGACTAACGGGATCGGGTGGTCAGGCTAGCTGACTTGGCATGTCATCGTATCCCAATTGCGTGGATCGATGCTCATGAAGTCAGTCACTTGTTTGTCTGGTCCAGACTCCATTTTTTACAGACCTAGATACCATTCATTGCCTGCTCGCAACAAAGCGCTCGTAGCACTGCGACAATCGTAAAACACATTATTTAACATTTCATTTTGAGTCAGGGCAAGAATAGGCTATTGAAAAAGAGACCTGGTGCTAAAGTTTTATGGCCTGGCTAATGTAATGCTTTCATACTCGTATATTGTTCATGCTCCCAGATACTGGTTTACTGGTCCAGATTTAACTATTTACAGGCCAATGTGATATAGCTAGACTCACTGCGGCGTTAAACAACATTCAAATTGGGTTTAACATCGCGTCCAAGATTATTGCACTTATATGTGTGTGTGGCTGCTTGTACTAGTCCGGACTGATGCCGATTTATAGTGCTAGCTCACTGAGATACCATGCCGCAGTTTAACATGAATACCCCACTCAGACACAGTATACTGACTCCGAGCTGACCAGTCCTTGTTTTAGCCCCTTAATACCGAGCGCCAGACAGGGTAACAACAAGTACAATCTTTTAACGTCTTTTGGTATGACGCCGCCGGGGATCGAACCCCGGACCTTCCGCTCTCCGGGCGGACGCTCTACCACTAGACCACGGAGGCGGTCCACTGTAACACAGACATACACAAGTCATGGAACTGTGAACACGCCTATACATGTGTGTATTTTGGTTCTGGTTAGCAGCTACCAACACATGTTTTCTCTGTGGTCTAGGGGACACGGGTGGCCCATAAGGCGCCGCGATTCGCTGTGCAGAGTTGCGTCCCTTGGGCACGCCAGAAACCTATGATTGTTGGTTCGAATCCCGGTTCCCCCCGATTATGTTTCTAGGTTTGTCAGCACCATACCAATGCTCGTGAGTTTCACCGAAGTGGTAAACGTCTGAGACCTGCATCACTTTGGGCTTTCCCCCCACATTAAGCTGACACGCCGTGATAAAACTGGAATAGTGTTACAAGCGGCGTTAACCCAACTCACAAACTCACTCACTCACTCAGTCACTCACTCACTCACTCACTCACTCACTCACCCACTCACTCACTCACTCACTCACTCACTTACTCACTCACTCTGTGGTCTAGCTATCCCGTACTTCATCTACCCACTCCGAGACCAGCATGCCGACATCAACAGTAAGCTTACCTGGCGCTGTGACGCCCGGGCTGTTCCCAACCCAACCTACAGGTGGCTCAAGAACGGCCAACCCTTGAACTCTGTTCCCGGGGACGTCACCATCTCGAGCAATATCCTCACCATCAACTCCCTTGACCCGCAGAGACACAGTGACATGTACCAGTGCTCGGCTACAAATATTCATGGTGTGGCCTACAGCGGCGCTCAACTCAGGGTCCTCGGTGAGTGGAATATACTGTTATGCTACATTTGCTGTAAATTATTGTCTAATTGAAAAATACTTTTCCACTTATTTATGCACGTATGTAAAGGTAGTGACGTTTAATTCAGTATAAAGGCTACAGGCCAAAGTACAGTATAGATACATGTAAACAAACGGGCAAAAGAAATGTCACCAAACAAGTTTCTGGTCTAAAACAAAACAGACGCAATATTTAGTAACAGTTGATGTCTTATTATAAGAAAACAATTATTCAAAAACGGTATTTGAAAATGACAAGATCAAAAACCATGTACTTAACGTTCTGCAGACACGTTTATCATGCTGGGTGCACTGTCCAGTATTCGATCATACCCGTAGAATCGACGTCGATCTCTTTTAAAGTCCCGTGCTACACACGTGGCTTAGTATCGGATGTGCAACGATACAGGCCTTAACACGACGTCGAACTGATTACACGAGTCTCCTGGCATCCTGAGAAGGGACCCTATGCCATTCTTCCTGCAGGGCAATTGCCAAGGCATCCCTCATCAATGGCGGCTGTTGACGTTTCCGAATCCTGCGTCAAAGTTGGTCCCAGATGTGCTCTATGTGTCTTCTGGTCCACGCAGATGCCACCCCAGACCATGACACTACCACCTCCATAAGGCTCCACTTCTTGGACGCCACAACGTGCCGTCCGTTCACCACGTCGTCGGTAGATTCGAACCCGCCCATCAGATTTGAAGAGCTGGCACCTACTCTCGTAGCTGAAGAGCACTCTTCACCAATTTCTCGGCTGCCACTGATATACAGTCCTGGCCCAGCTCAGTCTGTGACGTAGGTGTAGAAACGTTAACGTCATGCCCTTGAATGGTCGATAGGCACGGAGACCATACAGACGGAGTCGTCTAGCAACGGTCCTTCTGCTGACTGGATGTCCAAGGCTGTTTGTGGATGATAACGCCACAGTTAGGAATCGGGACCTTAGGTGAAGCACCCGTATATACCGGTGTTCCTGTTGGGTCGTGACCTTGGGTCTTCCCCTCCTCGGCCAGTTTACCTGTGACTGGCGATGGTGCACTTGAATCAGCCCATGATCCTGGCAACATGCTCCTGTGTCGATCGGGGCGGTCGGGTAGCCCAGTGGTTAAAGCGTTCGCTCGTCACGCCGAAGACCCGGGTTCGATTCCCGACATGGGTACAATGTGTGAAGCCCATTTCTGGTGTCCCCCGCCGTGATATTGCTAGAATAGTGCTAAAAGCGGCGTAAAACCATACTCAGTCAGTCAGTCAGTCCTGTGTCGATCCCATTTGCAACATACCGATGGCTCTCTCCCTCTGCTTTGCGGTTAGTCGAGGTATGTTCGTTGTTTTAAACGATTTCGTATGATGAGAGAGTACAATCCTTCTCAGGTTTTATACCAGAATTTCATACGGGTAACTTTGTGCACATTTTGCATTTTTTAGTTATTAAATTCATTTTTCTCGCAAATCATGTGAAGCACGTGCACATGTTCCAAAGGGAAAAGGTAGGTTGCATTCCATCTATGTGTTCCCAACTGTGTTCGTGCTGTTTGGCAAATTTGTTGAAAACTGACGACCATTATTTATTTGGTGGTGTTTCTTTTGCCCGCTAGTTTTTTATATATGAAATGGTGGTACAATGACAAGGGGTAAAGAATGCATTGACATGTATATCTCTATTAAATGCATTTAACATCTTGAATTAAAACAGTGGTAATTATCAAATAGCATCCCTATCCAAGCATTAATTATTGTTACAGTCATAATAGATCATACCGATTCCTTGAAGAAGAAATGGCTGCCATTGTTGTGAATGTACGAATCTTACAAATGCATTTGTAATTATATGACCTCAGCCTTTGCACCCTCCTTCGTGAAGCATCCCCTTGAACCAACTATTATGGGGTCTGTGGGGGGGAACGTGACAATCATCTGTAACCCGGAGGCCGCGCCATTCCCCACCTACACGTGGGCCAAAGATGGGACTGACCTTAACCTTCCTGACGGGGATACAACATCACGTGTCCGGAAGTTGAAGAACGGGAACCTGTTTATCTCCCCTGGCCAGTTGTCCGACAGTGGGCGCTATGACTGCACTGCACAGAATGTGTATGGCTCGGCTACCAGCTCAGGTCAACTGACCGTAATAAGTATGTATAAGTTCAGTTCAGTTTGTATTGTTCATTTGTCACACTGTTATGTGGATGTGATTTACGTATTAATTTGAAATTTGCCGGAACCATCCAAGCCAAAAACCCATTGTCAAAGCCAAACACCCAACCAACCCACTCACTCGCCCACTCGCCAACTCACCCACTAACCCATTAACACACTCAACCAGACACCTACTCACTCGACCCACTCTTACCCACTCACTCACATACTCACTCACTCACTCACTCACTCACCCACGCACAGGCGGCACAAGTGGTCCAATGACCTTTAGTGCCACTATTTGCACATACGCGTTCAGATTCGTCCCGATTTTTTGTTTGTCAGCACTATGTCTGTGCACCAAAATATTAAACGCCTGAACCTGCATCATTCGGACCAGACCCGTGAAGATCCGGGGTAGAACAGGTCTTCAGCAACCCATGCTTGCCGTAAAAGGCGACTATGCTTGTCGTAAAAGGCGACTAAAGGGATCGGGTGGTCAGGCTAGCTGACTTGGTTGATACATGTCATCGATCCCAATTGCGTGGATTGATGCTTATGATATCAATCACTGAATTGTCTGGTCCAGACTCGATTATTTACCAACCGCCGTCATATAGCTGGAATATTGCTGAGTGCGGCGTTAAACAACAAAGCAACCAACCAATTATCATTCGGACAATCTTCCCACAGTTAAGCTGACACGCCGTGATATAACAGAAATACTGTTCAAAACGGCGTAAAACCGCACTCTTCAGTCTATTCTTTTAGACAACCGAGATCATAATGACTCATTAATTATATAAAATCTCCCCTTACTGTATGACACACATTAGTAATTTGTGATGTGAAAAATGTCTCAACCGACAAACAAACATGTCCGTTCACTCACCTTTATGAAATCTGTATGAGGAGGTTAATTTGGAAAATGTGTTCATTTTGTATGGGACAATGGCTTGTTAAGGCCTTAATATTGAATTCATCTGTGATAACTATGTCCTGCCTTTCCCAGCCGGGTTGACCATCACGAACGCACCGTCGCCGACACAGGTTGTTGTCAACAACACGGCGTTCCTGATGTGCCAGGCGTCCCACCAACAGGACGTGGAGATGGTGTACGACTGGCACTTCCAGGGAAAACCTGTCAACTTCAACGATCCTCACTTCGAACTCGTATGTCAAACACATTTTGAAAAACATTCAGTACTTCAAGAGATTTTACCTCATAATATTAAGATCAATGCCGTATACATGCCAAAATACGCCAAATCATACGCACATGCAGTATCAGTGTAGTAATAGACCTGGTAAGATTCCGGATTCGAAATAATCTTCAGCAACCCATGCTTATAAGTGGCGATTAACGGGATCGGGTGATCAGGTTAGCTGAATTGGTTGATGCATGTCTTCGTATTCCATTTGCGTAGATCGATGTTCATGGTGTCAATCACTGGATGGTCTGGTCAAGATTCGATTATCCGTCATAAAGCTGTACTATTGCATGAGTAATAAGTATTATAATGTGGTCAGCCGCGTATGTAACTTCAGAAATATGTATTACAATGTGGACTGCCACGTATGGTACGCCAGGAATATGTATTACAATGTTGTCTGCCACTTATGGTACGTCAGAAATATGTATTACAATGTTGTCTGCCATGTATGTTACGTCAGGAATATGTTTTACAATTTTTTCTGCCTCGTATGTTACGTCAGGAATATGTATTACAATGTTTTCTGCCTCGCATGTTACTTCAGGAATACTTCAGGAATATGTATTACAATGTTTTCTGCCTCGCATGTTACTTCAGGAATACTTCAGGAATATGTATTACAATGTTGTCGGCCATGTATGTTACTTCAGGAATACTTCAGGAATATGTTTTACAGTGTTGTCGGCCATGTGTGGTACGTCAGGAATATGTATTACAATGTTGTCTGCCTCGCATGTTACTTCAGGAATACTTCAGGAATATGTAGTACAATGTTGTCGGCCATGTGTGGTACGTCAGGAATATGTAGTACAATGTTGTCGGGCATGTATGTTACATCAGGAATATGTATTACAATGTTGTCTGGCGCTCGGCATAAAGGGGCTAAAACTGGCTCGGAGTCAGTATACTGTGTCTGAGTGGGGTATCAATGGTAAGCTGCGGCATGGTGTCTCAGTTGGCTAGCACTATAAGCATCAGTCCGGACTTGTACAAGCAGCCACTCACACACGTACATACACGTCGCAATATAAGTGCAATGATCTTGGACGCGACGTTAAACCCCATTTCAACTCACCACCTCACCTCAGTGGCACATGTTATGTATTTCAGGGACTGCAGGGCACGTTTAACGGCCTGTATATTATCGGGGCACAGGCCCGATTTGGTGGACAGTATGAGTGCCTCGCGAAGACAGCTTTCGAGAGAGTCAGCAGAGAGGCCACACTGACGGTTCTAGGTATGTCCTTGATGTTTCATTGTTTGCTAACCTTCATGTCCACAAGGAGAGGCGACGGGATAGCCCAGTGGTTAAGGCGTTCACTGTTTACGCCGAAAGCCTGGGTTTCACTTCCTAAGAAACTGTACCACTGGGTACAATGTGCTTCTTATTTTTTAGTCATCCGTCGTGATATGGGATATTCCTAAATGCAGCTTAAAAGCAATCATCTTCATTGGACAGTAAGTACTCATCTAATATCAGTTGTATAACAGTCGAGATCCCATTCTAACATTGCTAACGAAAATAGCAACCACGGTAACCTTGCGCTACATACATAACAGCATATGAGAAGAACATATTTTAAGCCGAAGCAAATGGAATAATTGTGATCAGAAAAGACCATCGCATGAGGTTTCAATACGACAGTACTGGTAGTGTGGCCTTGTATTGGTTGCGGGTCCCATTGGGTTTCAGTTTCAATACGACAGTACTGGTAGTCCGGACATATAATGGGTTGGGGGCCACATACGGTTTCAGTTTCAATACGAGGGTACTGGTAGTGTGGCCTTAGTATGGGTTCAGGTCCAACCTGGGATACAAGTAAATGTCAGCGCCTGTCAGTGTCCAACAAGGACTTCATTCAAATGTTATACCTAAAAATATGAGGAATACACATAACCCATATAAGGCAAGGTTACGAAAAGAGCATTATTTATAACATCTGCCAAATATTTGAATTGAACGAAATCCTTACGTGGATTACAAACTATCGATGGCTTTAAACAAAAGTATTATCTTCAATGTCTGTACCACACTGTCCGTGCTAAAAGAGTCGTTGTTTGAGGATGTTTATAAAAAAAACAAAAAAACGATGATCTTAGTCATATCAGCGATTGTTATCATTCCTGCAGTTCCTGGAATGTTCTTCTTTGCCTGCAGGACCTCCTGGAGAGCCATCTGGGGTATTTGTGGAGTCTGTCCTGACCACCCATCACTCCATGGTGCTGTGGTGGACAACAGGGTCGGAGAATGGACGGAATATCATCTCATACGCGGTCGAAGTGTCTACAAACTTTGACCCGAGGTGGATCCTTCAAGTTGGAAGTATGTGATGTTCACAACGTCCTGATCTGTCTTCACATGTTTGTTCGATCATTGAAACATTTATTATCGAAATGAAATACACGAAAGGGGACATTGTAACATTTATTTTTCGAATGAACGCCAATCTGGAACAACATATATGACTGACGTGTATGCTCTAAAATTGATACACTGTTTGTTTATTGTTCTTTAACGCCGCACTGAGCAATATTCCAGCTGTATGACGGCGGTCTATAAATAATCGAGTGTGAATAGACAGTCCAGTGATTGACATCATGAGCATCGATCTACAGATATTGGGATACGACATGCGTCAACAAAGTCAGCTAGCCTGACCTCCCAATCCCATTAGTCGCCTCTTGCGACAAGCATGGGTTGCTGAAGATCAATTCTCACGCGGATCTTCACGGGTACCCTTCAAATGTATTGAATTTTGAATTGAAACTATTATTGGGACGGTTGGGTAGCCTAGTGGTCGAAGCGTTCAATCGTTACGCACTAGACTCGGGTTTGTTTCCTCACATGGGTTCAATGTGTGACGCACTAATGTTAACCCGTGCTCGATAGATGTGTGTACCAACTTTAAGCCTAAATGGACACTTCTGATTGGAGTGAGTGAATTGGGTTTAACGCCGCTTTTAACAGTATTCCAGTTATATCGCGGCGTGTCAGCTTAATGTGGGAGGAAAGCCCGAAGTGATGCAGGTCTCAGACGTTTATCACTTCGGTGAAACCCACGAGCACGGGTATGGTGCTGACAAACCTGGAAACATAATCGGGGCGAACCGGGATTCGAACCCACAATCATAAGTTTCCGGCGTGCCCAAGGGACGCAACTCTGCACAGCGAATCGCGGCGCCTGAGACGACTGGGCCACCCGTGCCCCCTTCTGATTGGAAGTGAGTTTCAATGACATTGACACACTGTGCGAACCCTGCTCAGGAAGTAGTCATTAAATGTGTGTGAAATCCTAGACATTAATATCACACAGAGTGAGTGAGTATGGTTTTACGCCGCTTTGAGCAATATTCCAGCAATATCACGGCAGGGGACACCAGAAATGGGCTTCACACATTGTACCCATGTCGGGAATCGAACCCGGGTCTTCAGCGTGACGAGCGAATGCTTTAACCACTAGGCTACCCGACCGCCCCCATATATCACACAGAAATGTAATATGGGCTTATCACACTGTAACAATTACCTACCAGCGAGCAGGACCCACTTGCACAAAGCGATCTTAGCGCTAAGATGATTGTAACTCCCATACTTTAACATAGGCTTACGATAGTCTTAGCGCTAAGATCGCTTTGTGCAAGTGGGCCAAAGAGTTGATTGTGTGACGCGGATGCTGGTTGTATAACGTTTATAACGAACACGCTTCCAAGGAACCGATGGATATACCGAACTTATCTTTTGGTCCCGGCAATTAGCTGTATATATGCTGTATATATAACTCTTACAACGAACTACGGTTATAACGAACTACAATTAGTAGTCCCTTTGAGTTTGTTATAACCGTAGTTTACTGTATTGCGCGGAGGTCCTGCCTACAAAGGCAAACTGCCTACAAAATATATGGGATCATCCCTAGCATGTGTAGCGCCCACCATTACCACAGGCATCTATGTCTACCACCTCGTATTTTAACATGGTGCTTACATTTCGTTCAGTCGTTGTTGGTATTCTTGTGACAATATTACAGAATACTCATACCGGGTAGATAGTGTAGGTGTTGTTTGTATTACCAGATATTCCCGATAGGGCAACAATCGTCCAAGGGAGGAACAAGCGGAGGTACGAGGTAGAA